CACAGCTGTATCTTTATTACTGTACTACCGGTATAGCAAAGCCTAGCTATCATAGATTTTAGATCTGTATTAGTAATATCCTAGATATATGCTATGAGCGTGAACGCGGTGGCGAGAGGGCGCACTTGATTCGGTTGCCAGTGAGTTTATCAGAAGAATACCCAGCTACAGTACACGTCAGTTGAGCGCTGTCGCTCTGTGGCACTTGTTTATTTAAGAGAGAGAGAAAGATAGAGAGAGAGTAGTAAACTGAGACGGGGAAAGGAAAACGGTGATACGGTGTGTATGCGGGTGGGAAACGGTGTACAATGTAGTGCAATACGGTGTGCAAGGGGATGGGAGGTGGGAGACAGGTTGAGGGTGGTCGGAGGCAGGGGGAGGGAGATGGGAGGTAAGGGGGGTGGAAGTGAGAGGCATGTTGAGTGACGTGGAAGGCAGAGGGAGAGAGGTGAGAGGAAAGGACCCCCCTGCCCCCTCTAATTAAACTTGGAGATCCATGCTCATATGTTGAAATCTTTTATGCCAACGTCAATGTCATTAATTACATTCCATTCAATTAAAAATTAGTCGATAGTATAATCTTTTATGCCAACGTCAATGTCATTCATTACATTCCATTCAATTAAAAAATAGTCGATAGTATAAACTGGAATCCATGCTCATGTTTGAAGCTTTCATGTCACCGTCAATGTCATTCATTAAATTGTATTTCAATTGTTATTATTGTTCTTGTTATTAGAAATAGCCCATAGAGATTAGGTGGGTACGAAAGTGTAGTTACAGAGTCCTGCTGATATATTTATTCAAATTTGCTACGAAAGTCAAACAAGATTAATGAAGTCTTATGTATAAGACGTGTTGCTATGCACAAATGCATTTATCAGCAGAACACCAGACACCAGATGAGCCCTGTCGCACTGCGGTACTTGTTTGTGGTTTTCTGATCTTTAAGCCCGGCGCACACGTGAGTAATTTTACTCAAGTAAAATGACGCATGAGTCATTTTACTCACGCGTGCGGCGGATTTTCGTTGAGTAATTTGACGCATGCGTCATTTTACTCAATATCAAACGTGTTTGATAATTTTTGACTCATGCATCATTTTACTCAACGTGTGCGCGCGCTGAGTAAATTTACTCAACACTGGTACTCAAAGCGCATGCGTTTAAATCATTGTGCGCCCAGTATTGGCTGCGCACAGTCACGTGATCTGCATTACCACTTATTCCTTGAGTAATTTGACTCACGTGTGCGGAGAACCCTGAAAATATTACGCGTGAGTATTTTTACTCATGCGTCATTTTACTTGAGTAAAATTACTCACGTGTGCGCCGGGCTTTAGACTATTTCAGGCCTGAACCAGAAACAACCGTGTGCCACTTTGGCACCCTTGGGCAATTTTTTTGTCACAAAAAATGCAGATCGTGTATGTTCCCATTTGAGTGCGTATAAATTACGGGGGTGTATAGGCATGCTAAACTTGCAATAACTTATTATTCGGCCCATCTTCAAATATTTGGTATTGTTTTTGTGCATTTTACACTCATGTACAACCCTAGACTAATTACACCCACAACATACGACCATCAGAAGCCAGGAATTCAAAATAGCCACCACAAACCATCAGCGAAGCCATAGATTGCCAGTCTATTACACATGTGTATTTCAAAGTGTCTCTATATGAAACTATTTTCCACTTTATTTATGCACACATTAATTACATTTGTAAGAAAACATCTAGTTCTTAAGGCTTTGGTATGTTACTCCATAACCTTAGCATTGCCGATTCTGAAACCTGGTCCCTGGCCTTTATAACAATTACTAGTGTATGGTTTCGCCACTATTAAAATATGCTTCGCCAGTCTGGTGCCCCTATACACTTCAGAACAGTTCTAAATTAGATGCCATTGAGACGTTTCAGATGTTTGGGCTCAACTTGATTAGCCTCTTCGTGTCTGCATGCTTTATCTATGCTTAACAGTTATATAATCTTCCATGAAATTAATCATGGTCAGGTGAAGATGCCATTCCCTCTTGCTTAATAAAGCCTGTTCGTAGCACTTTTGACATGTGCCATCTTTAAAGGATGCCTTTTACTTCGTTTCTGTCATTCAATGGTTTATTTTTATGGTTATTTTCCTTCCTATTTGGTTAATTGCAAAATTGCAGCTTTTTCTACCGCAATCCGTAGTATTGATCTGTCTTTTTGATCAACTTTGTCTCCCTGTCTTCGATATAGTCCCCTGGACTCTGAAAGCTAATCTTTGTGAGGTTATAAATATAAGGTTAGTAGTAGTACTACCAGTGATAATGACTAATAACATGATGTCATTGGCGAGACGAGGTTCCAGCTTTCAAATACAATATCCAATCAATACGCAATACACAATACACTGGTCAGTAGAAAATGGCAATAGCCATCACTGATACCCAATATCAAATCATAATTGGCAATCCCTTGAGTTCGGGGGGGGGGATTCCCATGGGAAGGCTATGGATGGCTGTGGGTCCTCAGATGACTGACGAGGCCAATCCTGGATCCACATGTCTTGTTACAATGTATGCAGGTGTTGTGAAATTGATGAATGGGTCAGGTTGATTCCTTCTGTCTGCAGCACGTGCTTTCTGTCGTTCGCGATTCTCCATTTCATGCTGCCTCCTTTGGGCTTCAAAGTGTTGAGAGCCTTCCCATATAGTTTTTCTCCATTGATGGCGATCAAGCACATCAGTTTCCCAGGTGCTAGGGTCGATGTTATACCTTTTTAGGTTGGCTTTGAGCCTTTGAGTACATCCTTGTAGCGCTTTCTTTGTCCTCCTCTTGTGCGTTCGCCTTGTCGTAACTGGGAATATAGGACTTGCTTAGGGTTTGTGGCTAGGCATTCGGAAAATAGCCAAATAGCCAATAGCCAATACACAATTTCCAATATCATGCAATACAGCAAGCAGACAGGCTGACATAATTAGTGGGAGTGGTGACGTTAGCTCAGACTCATCCCTGTGGCGAAACAAAGAAACAGTCCTACATCAAAATACCTATGTATTGGCATACGTCATGAAACGCATTGTATATGTATACACCCGTGAAAATTATATATCGAAAGACCTAGCTCACCCATTAGTGTTGCAGTCGTAACCTACGCTAATTAGCATGAAAATGATTATTATTTCTCAGTCATTTTCCTCATAGAACACACAGGGAACCATGCACGATACACAATAAAGAGAGCCAAAATTATTCTTCTATTAGTGGAAATACGTACCTTATTCTGTTGGTGGCCATTTTCATTTTCATATCTGCAGGAATACGAAGGAGAACGAAATGAAAAAGAAGAGAGACATGGTTTTGGAAAGACAATTTTACCGAATGGCGATAAATATGATGGTAATTTGGATAGATAGAGGTGCTAATAGCATATCTATTATTAGCATCCCTATCTGTAATAGTAATTGCATGTTATGTAGCAAATATGAAGATTATACAGCTACTATGCAAAATGAGATCCATTTCATCTACCTATTTTACAACCATCAATTAATGCTTTTTGGTATAATTCAGTTGATAGTAACTGCATCTACATATTTGAAAGTAAACTGTATTTGCTACTTATGAACCGTATTAACTTGCCAGGTATTATCGTTTATATATTTCACTAACCATCAATCAATGTTTATCTATTCACTAGACCAGATCTATTTATTGCAAAACTTGATTTACATTTTTTGTATAAGTCGATTGATAGTTACTGCATCCTTATATTTAAAAATTGCTGATCTGGAAATAATATTCCAGGATATTATCAACATGGCAAAAGACATGGGCAAGGCACATACCGTTTCAAGAACAAGGCCAGATACATAGGTGAATATTATATGGCCAAGAAACATGGACAGGGAACTTTCATCTATCCTGACGGTTCGAAATATGAAGGTGTGTGACTTTTTTATTTACATGTAAAATTACATGTGCATGTGTGCGTGTAGTTTATGATATGAATGAGTATTGAATTCAATAGTTTTGAAGTAATTTGAAGCATTTCAGAATAATTTGTGAGAATTTGTTGTGAATTTAGGAACTAATGCATGAATTTTATGTCACAGGCAGCTGGAGCGAAGACCAACGACATGGACATGGAGTTTATACGTACATGAATGGCGACAAGTATGAAGGAGAATGGCGAAACAATCTCAGGCACAAAAAAGGTTTTACCGCAACTAACATATTGTTTAATTAGTGAGACAATCAAGCTTTTGCATGAGTATTGCTCTAAGGAAGAGTAAACGTTTATTGACCGATGAATCGAATCATGCAATCACTAGTTTTATTTATAGGTGAGATGTATCTCCATGCTTAAGCTGAAAAATGTCATGAAACTTCCAGCACCTAATTATGTGACAACACAATTTTTTTTAAATAAAAATTTGCTACCACAAAGAGTGAAATCAAAACTTTCGCCACAAGTTAAAGGGACACTTTCTTCTGGAATTTGAGAGTAGATTCATAAATAATAGCATATACCTACAAATATCTGTAATTACGCTTTCGCGTTTGTCATAAAACAACATTGAATTTCGAAATCTTCATTTTTGGGCGCTAACATGACACCCGTGATCGTGCTGCCACCCTGAAGAAGTTTCACATTTGCCAAGTTATTCTGCACGTTACAGGCCGAGGGCTAATCACAAAAGTGCAATTATATTTATACCTAAATGCTATTTAACGGAACGATATTCAATTTAGGACAAATTCATCCATATTATGACTGAAACTAAGTGTCGTTTATAACATATTGCAATCATTCGATCTGCTCTTAAATTAATAAATAATAAACATCCTCGGACTGCAGCCTGCAGCCAAAATGTTGCTTTGCACAACTTTTCAGTGGATGCGCTTGGCAGTGGCGCCACCGTCACTGTAAGCAACGATGTAGCCGTCAGTTAAAAAAAAAAATAAAAAATATATCTAATAAAATTATTGAACCAAATGTATGTAGCGTGGTTTTAAAGGGATCGTTTACTCTAGGTTCTAGGGTTATTTTCAGTTCATTTAGGTTAAAATTACGCTACATAAAAAGTTTCATGGTTCAATCACCATTAGAAATATTATTAAAAAATGTTTTAAAACTAACGAATACAGTTTGACTACAACGACGGTGGCGCCACTCAAAGCGCACAATCTGATAAGTTGCGCAAAACCTTCAGCCACTTTTCAGTCAGGAGCTACAGACCGAGGGTGTTTCTTATTTATTCATTTAAAAGCAAAATGATTGTAATATCTTATAAACGACATCAGGGGCGGATCCAGGAATTTAAAAAAGAGGGGGCACAGAATGAGGAATCTATTGAGGGGCGTGTACAGGATTTGTACCAAGGGGGGGTCTAACCATAACCCCAACTTGGAAGCACGCGAAAGGGGGGTCTGGGGGGCCCTTGCCCAGAAATTTTTTGAAATTAGACCCCCTTAGATGCGTTTTCTGCGTGAGCAGGGCGGGGGGGGTCCGGACCCCCTGCCCCCCCCCCTGTACACGCCCCTGCTATTGTGTAATGTGGGGGGATGATAAGGCGAAGGAGCGGAGCGACCTAGCGCGAGTGAGCGAATTAGCGACCGAGGGGGGAGGGTGTGGGAAGGGGGGTTTCCCCCTCCCGCAATAGGGAGCTTTTGCACTTTTAAGCTTAAAATGGTGCAATCTGGTGCATACTGTAGAGGGTATTTTAACTCATATTGCAGCAAGCATTTATGTGTTAAATTTGATCAGTGGCGTAACCAGCCTTTCGGTATGGGGCGGGGGGGGGGCAAGACCGTCAAATGTACGTACCGAGAAATTGCATTACACTGAAATGTCTTAAACCTTATATATTTCTGACATGATCATGTGGTATTTCAGAAGCACATTCACATATTAAATAACTATTTCAGGCTAGAGAAAAATATGGCAATTTCAAAATTCAAATCTTGTGATAACTTGAAAGAATGTTTGTAATAGTATGAGTATGTCATTACAGAAGCAAAATAAAATTAGTACTTTCTTCCCTAATGAAACATCCAGTTTAAAGGTACATACATGTGTGACATATAACAGTTGCAGACCAGAAATATATCTAGCAATATAAAAATCAAATTCTTGTAATGACTGAGATGTTTTCTTTGGCAGGAAATTCAGAAGAATGACTGATAAATTTGAATAGTTATGTTAAACATGAAAATGGGTCATGATCTCACAATTTCTGACTGGAACCTTATCTTGTAACCTTATTTACAACATTGAAATTGAGAAAAACTGCATGCAAGAGCCTTCATGCAACTATGGTCAGATATAGTTGGATACACTTCTCACTTGGATAAGGAAATTACTATTCCTGCGAGACTTCCATGATGTTCATGTAACACAACATGAAATATTGTTTTCTAAAATCACATGAAAAGCAGTGCAGTTCCTAAATCCACTTACCTAAGGCTAAATCATAGGTTTTAGTCTTTAAAAATCCTAAATGTGCACAAGTGGACCAAAGTGCGAGGCTGCATGTCCATCAGAGCCCACCTTTAGTTCCCTAAAATATCTATTTTGTTGGAATACTTGCAAAACATTAAACTGTATAACACTACGATTCACTAAACAGGCCGACTGTTATGTAGACTGTTTCAGTTTGGGATATGAATTGAAAGAATACCTAATAAAGTAATGACTTTCAGTTTGGAGACACCTTTAATTCATTTGTAGCAAAGCATTGATTGTCCGTTATGTAGTTTATGGGTTTGGAAAGGTGCATTCATTTGTATACAGACAGAGAGCTCACAGAACATATTTTCGTAGAACATATGTACATAATTATGGTATTACAACAGTTGAAGGGCATATCTTCTAAGGGCATGTCTTCTAAATTAGATTTTCAGTTAACAGATACAAATCAAGGCTACGCTGAAAGTGGATTGGTGAAAAGCATTCTGCGAGGGTGTCTTGATGCAAATAAATCAATCACTTTGTCATAATCAAGCTTAATTTCTCTATGAACAAAAAGCAGCATCAAGGCATTCATGCGGTCACTACCCATAGTGCTTCTGAAGGGAGATTTAATAAATCTCAGAGAAGAATTTGCCCTCTCCACCCCACAACTCGTCACAGGCTTCAGCATAAACACATGTAAGATTCGGTGAACATTTGGGAAATGGAGAATGTTGCACTGCTGAAGAGTCTGGCAGAGACGATGGCGTGCTTGCATTTCCTGCCAAAAAGCGTTTCCAAAGTTTCAGTTCTTGGCGAAATGTGCCTGATGAAGGTAGGTCAGGGCCACAGAATTGAAGCAGTTGCTGTAAACATTCCGTGGTAAGTAGTTCATGGTTGCCTGGAATAAGGGCCAGAGCCTTGACAGCTTGGTTGGTTAATTCACTGAATCGTGTATTTATTTCCGAATTGAGGCCATCCAAGAACTGGTTGAAAATCCCAATCCGATAGTAGTCTGCGACTCTGCGGTGTTATCAGTAGGGACGTTCCCCCGCATTGTCTGCAAGGAGCACCTACGTGGTATCCTTATTTCTTCTCCAGCCAATGTACTCATGTGTTTCATTTCTGGGTACACATTCATGTCAAATTCTGGTTTACTGTTGGTCCTTATCTCAGATAGCTCATCCTGGACCATCTTTACATCCTGGTATGCTTCAAGGATGTCTTTGCTGCTTCCTTGAAGTAGACAGCTGAGACCTTTGGTAAACCCAAAGAGGAAGCGACACACCTGGAAGGCTGCAATGAACACAGAATTAGATATACTTGTAGCTAAAGCACTTGCTTGGCTGACAGTGTCTCGTTCCCATCCCTCTTTCGACTGAATTTCATCCAAGGTACCTAGAACAGCCTCATACGTGATATGAAAGTCTTCAAAGACCTGTTGCCTTTCAACCCATCTGGTTTTACAGAGACCCTTTATCTTTGTCATCTTAATTGCCTGAAATTTGTCTTCCTCTCTCTTCAGGTTTATTTGTGTTATTACTTTCTCTAGACATCTCTGTCTTTTAGGAGAACCTCTGAAGAATACACCAACTGCACGCAGAGTGCTAAACATGCACGTAATCTCTCAAACTTTTGATGACTTTGTTATGACTAAGTTTAAAACGTGGCTCGCACAATGAAAGTAGTGTGCATAAGGTGCCTCCTCTTTGAACTTTGCTGGCAGCCCCTTATTGCAGCCTGCCATATTTGCAGCACCATCGTATGTTTGTGATCAGCAGTTAACTGGATTCAGACCTACATCTTTCAATGTTGAAACAAGTTCTTCGCAAATGGCACTTCCCGTTACTTTAACACAAGGCACAAACTGCAGAAAGCGCTCAACAGGTTTTCCATCCTTGACATATCGCACAAGTATCCCTAGCTGCTCCCACTGGCTTACATCAGCCACCTCATCAGCACTGATCCCGTACAGGGCACCTTAATTCATCTTGACTGTTGATTTCATTTACAATCATGTCCTGTACCTGCTTCTTGATACAATCAAGTAGGGCATTCTGTGCGGTCTTGGATATGTAGCTGGCATTTCGACTGCAATCCTGTAGGTGGTTTGAGAGCTCTTTATCGCCAGCATTAATCCTCATGTCCAACAGGGCTTTGAAGTTTCCAAAATTACTAGTATTGGAAGAGACATCGATGCCATCATCTCGGTGACCACGTAATGCAATCCCTTGTCTACCACACATCTCTAGAGATTTTATGATTGAGGTCAAGATTCTTCTGTTCTTTGCAACACGGAGTGCAGCTGTCGATGATAACATAGCATCGATTCCGTTTGAGGGTTTTTCCATGGTCCTGCAAAATTATTTAAACTTTGCACACGCGGGCTGTCGAACTCGCGGCGTCGATCAGGAGTAGATATAGACGTAGACGTGTACATATAGGCAGTGCATGCCATGCGCAGGGCAGTCATAGAGCTGTATATAAGGTTTTTCTATATACAGCTCTATGAGGGCAGTACGGTTATTTACGGTAGTTGCAGTGTAATTAATTAATTTTTATTTTTTTTATTTAGGTTTCAAAAGGGGGGGCACGGGCCGGATGTGCTCGCATCTAAATCCGCGCCTGAACGACATATAGCAGGGCTGCCAACTCTCACGCATTGACCGTGAGACTAACGCATTTTGACCAAATCTCACGCTCTCACGCTGATCTTACAATATTTCACGCACAGCAAAAAAAATCTTACAATATCTGAAAACAGTCACTTTAGTATGCACAAAATTGCACAAATTGAAGTTATAAAATGCAAAAGCTCCCTACTGTGGGAGGGGGAAAACCCTCCTCCCACGCCCACCCCCTGCTCGGTCGCTTCGCTCCCTCGCTTCTCACTCTCACCTATCACCCAATGTTGGCAGTCCTGCACATAGTTTCAGTTATAATTAATATGGATAAATTTGCCCTAAAATGAATATCGTTCGGTTAAATAGCATTTATGTAAATATAATTGCACTTTTGTGATTAGCCCTCGGTCTGTAACGTGCAAAATAAATTGTCAAATATGCCAAACTTTTTCGGGGTGGCAGCACGGTCGCGGGTGTCATGGCGCCGTTCAAATTTCGTAGCGTTGGTGTGTAATTAATTATAACAATTAAGTAAGGTATCTGGTAACAAATGCGTGTGGGTATAGACGATTTGTTATACAGTAAGTACAGTTGTATGCAGTAAAATCCTAGAGGCTACTGTCCCTTTAACCTATTTTAACTGAAAATATCTGAAGAACCTAGATTAATGTATCCCTTTAAGCACAATATGCACCAAAATCGCACATCAGAATTTTAGTTAAAGTTCCATATTTAGGCCTAACAAAAAAAAATTAAAAACTGCTTAAAATTTTAATCGTATGTTTGGATTGAAAATACATTCATATATGAGAAATATGTATCTAGAATTATCCATTTATACATCGACTAGCAGAAATCGTAAACTGTGAAATCGGCGTTGTTCTACTTTTTTATAATGATCGACCGTCTGTGTGCTAAATAGGTGAACGCATGTGAAACCTCTACTGGTAATACTTACTGCAACATATCCATGACTACCTATAACCACTATAATTGTAAAATGTTTTGATCATCTTGAGAAATTGTGAGAAATTACAAGTTAGGTTATTTACCACTTGCAATTTGATGCGAAATGCGCGAACGTTGCTCTCTGCATGACGTCACTATAAGCTACGTGTCAACAAACCCGGGCATATGTATCAACGCATAAATGCTATTTTCGACCACGTGGCAGCTTCAACTATCACTGGCAGTTGACATAGGAGGGTTGAGGCTGATATATTCTGGCATAATGAATACCGTTAAAAGGCTGGTTAGACGTTAGATCACATCTCTGATGTCATTAGTAATGCAGTCTCACTGCACACAGATGCGGGCTATCAAAATGCTCTAAAAGCATTAATGATCTTGATATCTAGAGAAATAAGCATGCACAAAGGTGGTACCTGGCATTAGCCATTAAATAAGACTGAACATTAAAAATCAATGAAATTTCACATAAAACCTTGAGTATCCTTAGTAAGATTTTTCGGTAGATTGATGTTAGTCACTGACAATTTATATGGAGCAGTGCAAGCATCATCACAGTAATGTAGTTCTGAAAGAAATTAAATAATTTGGTTTAAAAAGCTGGTGAATAAAACACCTGCATCAAAAGTTTATATTGAAATAATTCTCTTTCTGACTAAAGTCTATATTGATATATGCACAGGTACATATGTGTATGCTGAATCTGGAAGCAAGTACTTTGGCATGTGGCAGAATGGCAAGCGAGAAGGACCAGGGCAATTTATTCATGGAAACCACAAATACATTGGAATGTTTAAAAATGACATTGTGAGTATACAATTGCTAATTAGTAGGTCTCAGGGGAGAGATAGTGAATATAGAAATAAGTTGTGGATATAGAAATCAGTTAACCCTAACCCTAACCCTAACCCTAATCCTAACCCTAACCCTAAGCCTATCCCTAATTCTAAAATAAAACAAAATTAGCCAAAAATAATAAAAAATAAAATATATAAGAGACAAAATTAGCCAATCAGAGCCGTCCCCTAGCGGATCACTATCTCTCCCCTGTGCAAAATTCATTGCTAATAACATTATTTTGCGCACATCTGACATATTTGTATAGACAAATATTTGATAGTGAAACAACTCCCACATTGTTACAATTGCACCAATTATTTCAGTAGCTCCTTTTGCTTTGTGTGTTATGTGTTATATGTGTATATTTTATCTGAAAACATATTTAGTCAGAAATTTGAAATTCATCTAGAAAAGCTTAAGGATATTTATAAAAAATTTCTTTGATTTCCTATTTTCAGTCTTATTCAATTAATAACACCAGGTCCCACATCTGTACATGCTTATTCTTCTATATAGCCTACTAATGCGTGTGAACTTTCAGAATGCTTGGATTGCAGGGTTTCTTCTACATAAGAGGCACAGTGGCGCACCGCCATTGTCAAATTTCACATCGCCGCTGTGAAAATGTTTCTGTATTTACCCACCCCCGGACCCCCCCTCCCCCCCACCTGGGCGAGCTCCTGTGGTGCTCGCTTTGCTAGGTCCTCGAGACGCGCAAACACGCCTTTGAATCCATTATGCGCGTTTTTTTCCCAAACTGGTCATTACCTCCATTGTCTAATTTTCCCTCAGAATAAACCCTGGATTGCTCACTTACATGTGCAATATGCCATGGACCTCTAAATACACGAGCTTAAAGGGATACTAGACTCTAGGATTTTACTGCATACAACTGTAGGCCTACTTACTGTATAACAAATCGTCTATACCCACACGTATTTGTTACCAGATATCTAATTTAATTGTTATATTGCGCCATTGACACCCGCGACCTTGCTGCCACCCTGAAAAAGTTGCGCATTTGCCAATTTATTTTGCACGTTACAGACCGAGGGCTAATCACAAAGGTGCAATTATATTTATACCTAAATGCTATTTAACCGAACGATATTTATTTTAGGACAAATTTATCCATAATTCTAGAGCACTCGGAGAGCGCAGACCTACGCCAAGGCAGCTAAATTCTGTCACAGTGAAAAATTTTATTAATTGGATCCGGATCACCACCAAAATGTCATCAATTTTAAGTTACCCCATTTCTGACGTATCCTGAAAATTTTATTAATTAATTAATTGGATCCGGATCACCACCAAAATGTAATCAATTCTAAGTTACCCCATTTCTGACCTATCCTGAAAATGTCATCAATTAATTAATTAATTAATTGATTAATTGGATCCGGATCACCACCAAAATCTAATGAATTCTAAGTTACCCCATTTCTGACCTATCCTGAAAATGTTATCAATTAATTAATTAATTAATTGATTAATTGGATCCGGATCACCAC